TCTTCTCTTAGATTACCAAAAAAAAAAAGGTAAAAGTGAGAGGAAGAGTTCCAGAAAAGTAGTTGGAGAAAGTTCTTACTTTTGCACTTTATTTGGGTTTTTGTAAAAATACTGAACACATTCAATAACCATACCTTGTTCCATCATAGCATCGTTAATGTGACTACATTTGGAATGAATTCTAATTGTCATATATAATAAACCATTCTCATGTGTTTGGTCATAATGAGAGGAGGGTACGTTTTGTGAGGTTTGCTTGCATCGACGTCATACTATGGACCGTTCACGTCCTCTAGGGGGCCGATTTGCATTACACAGGTTGCAATGATGTCATGTTTTACCGAAGCTCTTCATTGCTCATCTCTGCCCAGAACATCTCTCGACAGCTGCATGGAATAACTACCGGTATTTGAATTTGAAATTTGTAAACCTGTTGACATACTTAAAGGTCCCACGTCATCAAATTCCAATTTGTGGTAACGTTTCTAAGAGCCCATGATGGGCAGGGGCCCTCAAAGAACATACAGTATTGTTGTCAACTGACTCTGTACGTGCTAGAACATAATGTTGGGTTAATCACGACACTTATGGTGGCAGGTGTGTACTGACTCCTATTTAGCTTAACCCCCCGCCCCCCCCACACACACACAAACCAAAAAAAAAAAAAAATGTCATCCAATACAGAAAAACTGACCGATTCCCCACAATGCGTCAGATGTTTTATTTCACAAACAGGCACTGACACCAGCGTTCTCTGGCATTTACAGTGTTTTTATTTACATCATTATATTTCCTAAACAAGTCAAGTTATAAGTGCATAGTCATGAGGTGAACATGAGCGGCATGACTAGAGGGAGACAAACAGAGTGACATTCAGAGGAATATTATTCCAGGAAATCTGGGGTTACATGTGTGGGTGGTGAATATTCAATAGACAGTATAGTTGGAATCGAAATACAAACAATTGCTTCAAACAATTAGGAATTGTACATTTTGTGTTTAAAAAAAAAGCATTTTGTTCTATCACAAGGGAGAACATTTAGTTTTGTTGTAAAGTAAGGAGATAGACTGTATTGTTTTTTTTCACCTATTGTAATAGTTAATATTTCATTTGAAGTGCATTGATCAGTGATTTGATCTTTGAATTCGAATGGAATGTGGGAGTAGACTTGGCAGTGTGGGCAGTGATGAAGTACCTTAACCAGTGGTCCCCAACCCCCAGGCCGCAGACTGGTACCGGTCCGTGGGTCATTTGGTACCGGGCCGCACAGAAAGAATAAATAACTTACCTTAATTCCGTTTTATTTATTTTGGAATCTGAAAGATGTTTTATTTAGAAATGTTACCGGATTCTCTGTTACATCCGTCTACAATATGTCACCCTTGACACAGGTCAAGGCGCGCTCTTTGGTCACGTGATAGGTTACTGCTAAAATGAAACCTGGAGCGCTAGCAAAATGAGTGAAAAAAAAAAAGGCTTTGGAAAGGTTCTTTAGGAAGGGGAAAAAGCTACTTAAAATACGGCTTCAGCTCAACGGGAGATTCCCACGTACCAAGCCCACTTTGGATAATATGCAGCGGTGGTGAGTCGTATTTTTCACTCACTTTGTATTTGCGCTGTATCTTATTTTGAAGGCACGTTTAAACGTTACCATAACGACCAGAGAGTGGTGCGGCCAGATGAGACGTTCCTGGTGTCATGATTCGTGTTTATTATTATGTTACGAAAATACTACCGTTTTCATAGAGGTCGTATCATATTATTTTGTTGTATTTATCCGACACATCTTAAAGGTCGGTCCCTGCAAATATTGTCTGTCATTAAACCAGTCCGTGGGGCAAAAAAGGTTGGGGACCGCTGCTTAGGCCACATGCAGAGTGTTGCAATTCCTTAACAGTTGTTACAGTGATCGTTTCTATACGATTGCTGTGTGTTTAAAAGGTGTCTTTGTAATTTTTGGGAGGCCACAAGACTCCTGGACTGGCAGTATGAGCTCCAGTTGCTCTGGCAGTTTAAATAATTTACCATAAGAAGACATCGCGGTCTTTCCCCATTTTTTTTCGCCTAAATTGTCTTCCCTCAATAGTTCCATTACATGGTATGACTTCTGCCCATAGATGTCAGTTTGAAATGATTTCATCCATATTTTTTTGTGGTCCCTTGCCCTAATAATCTTGCAATTGACTAAAAACTTTAAAAATATGTGGCACAGACATGTGACAAAAAAGTCATTCCTATCACTTGCAGGACGATGTATAAATGCATTGTTACACTTGTATTGTAGCCGAGTAAACAGTATGTGAAAACACTACATTTTGCCTTGTACAATAATGTGTCTCCAATATGTAAACATTTAATTGACAAACTAATTGAGTTGAGACAACAGGCTTCTCATGTCAAGTTGACGAGATGGATATTATACCTAGAGTATATTCAAGTCAGTCCTGCAGCAAGGGTTGTACACAGTCGGCTGATGATAAGTCGTGTTCTCTTTGTGCAGAAAGACAGAACAGGTCAGAATGAGGAAAGGGACAAAGGGTGAATGAGTTTGCATCCATATACGACATCATTAAATATGAATTGTATCTCCCGAAATGACATCATTCAATATGACAGTTTTTTTTATTTTTTGTGGGTGGATGTAAACATTGGCTGTCAAATGATAATAAATTATCATAAGTTTCTCTGTGATAACAGCGCATCTTGCCAGTATCTTTTATACAACTGGAACGTCTCTTTATTTCCCTTTTAAGTGAAGCCCCATTCAGAAGGAGCGCACTAATGTATGGGATGAGCACCACAATAGAGAATGTGCGGTGGACCCATATTAAACGTTGCTAGAACTTTGACGTGAGGTCACCACGGAAAACCAAATTGGCTTTTTTTTTTTTTTTTTTTTTTTTTATGTTCACGACACAAAAATCAGGAGCTAAGATGTGTGCAGCAAACAGACTGTTTTGTGCGCATTACGTTTGAGGTATATGACGCATGTTTAACTCCACCACACTGCCTCTTTTGGGATGTTTGTACCCTTATTAAATCAGTTGCTTGTGGCAATACTTTCATATGTCATCACTTATATCACGGACAAAACACATAAGCCTACAGTAATTAGAAAACCTGCCATTACCGTGACATTAAAGTGATTAATCAGCTATTACATACAAATGGCATCTTTGTTTATGTGAAGAAATCTGTCAAGATGAAGGAAATGACTTAAATCAGACTTGTTTTGCTGCATAAACGGTAAATGTCAAACTGGTAAACGGTAACACTTAACATTTGTAATCTGTCTCCTTATTGCAAGTATCATGAAAATGGTGTCGATGGTGGCTCTGGAATTATGTGTGCCACCAAAGTAATGGCAAGGACGAGATAGACTAAGTCTGTCCCAATACATTTGTCCAATAGTATTGATGAAACGCGACAGACCAATAGACTTTATGATATTGCATTTTAACATTCACTACTAGATACATTCAAAAAGACAAAGTTGTTACTAGCTAGAATAAGGCAATGTTTACTTTAAGTTGATTTCATTGCGTATTAGATGCACTATTGAGGGCACAAACCAGAGTCATTGTTGGGTTGTCTTACGTCAAGTAAAGTGAGACATCAATGGCATTGTTTATAGAGCCGGAACATCTTATACGTCCTCATTAATTATTGGATTCTATGAAGTTATGTCCAATAAAATATATTCAAGGCATCGGCCCACTAAGACGCTTTACCACCATGCCTATCATTGACAAAGCCTTCAACAGGCCTTTTGTCCCGACACACTTCTAAAGTGATCTTTAACATATTACTGTATTGCATAACAATTTCTTTGTTATTGCTTCCATTGAAAGCAAGGAGGAAAAGACATAACACAAATAAGAAAGTGGCCAGTTGGCCAGAGTGAGAAATGTGAACAATAAAACAAGTGAATGGCTGTTGACACATTCTCTTATCGGAAGTATGGCAAATTTGATTTTCAGATTTTTTTTTCATTGTGTTCAAATTGTTTTCTAATAAAATAAGAATGGATTTAAGTTGATTTGTGCAGCCACTCCAAACAGTGGTAAAGTGCTGTATTGTTTGTGTGCAAGGCCCGTGCATGACTCACTGCTATTTGACCACTTAAATATAAGTGTCTGTTTGTGTGTGTGTGTGTGTGTGTGTGTGTGTGTGTGTGTGTGTGTGTGTGTGTGTGTGTGTGTACGCGCACGTGCACGTGTGCGTGCATGCATCCCTAACCTCCTGATCCCAGAATCACCCCTGACTTTCAGTTTTAATGACCTGAATTGAAATCGAGATTTGGACAATACAAGTTTCTGAATTTTAGAAAAAAAGACTCATTCTTCAAAAAAGAACACCACTTATCCATCCAACGATCCATTCATACATCTTCTATTGCGCACTGGGTTCAAAATTACATGTGAGCTGTAGTCTTATCACTGTTGACTTTGGGCATGTGGCGGGGTACACAATGGACTGGTTGCCAGTCAGTCACATGACACAAAAATCATAAAACCATTCACAATCCAATTTAGATTATTCAACTAGCTGGACTTGCATGTTTTTGGAATATGGGAATATGCAAAGAAAACCTCATGCAAGTGTGGAAAACATGCAAACTCCTCACTGAAAAGTCTGATCCACAACTCGAACCCAGAACTTTTGACTGTGAGGCACACTTGCTGTCAAATTCAACACTGTGTAGCTCCAAACATTTAAATGCCGGTTTGGGAGAGGCATCTCAGCTATTTTGTACTCTTCAATTATTCCAACGAAAGCATCTTTCCTCTGTTTGACTCATGTTCAGTTTCATATCAGCGCAAGACTAATCATCAAAAAGAATAAGCGGATATTGACCGAGGTTAGTACATTTAGCGTAGGGAACTACTCGGGAAATGTGAAGACTGCAGAGTTTAATGATACGGGCGGTGAACACTGCAACAAACAGGCTGCCATGTAGGCAAGTGTGACCCAGCCTTCTGCATGTTTTTTTTTTTTTTAAATTGAAGCAATGATGGAGCTGTACATTTGCTTAGTGTACTTGAGAGTGTACATTTGTTGTAACATATATACAAACGTAACGCTGCGTTTTTGCTCATGCCTTTGGTGTTCCTTTGTTGTCAGCTTTGGCTCCTGTAAGTCCATTTTCGGTATTGTCGTTCCCTGAGGCATTTACCAAGCACTCTTTACTGCAAGGTGATGGAGAAACCAAAGATTAGCATGCAGAAGCAACAATATGAACAACAAAAACTATAAATATCCCTGATTCACATGAATGAAATTTTTATACAAGCCATACAAAACAAAACGCATTGAAATGAAAGTGGATATTTTTTAAGGATATTTTCCCCAATTTTATAACCAAACAGAATTTACGTGAATGACAATTAGACATGTTCAAATGCTGCTAAAAGCGTTAAAAATGTTTTACAAGGGTCATCATTTGACTTAGTGCACCTTGCGTTGCTGTGGGGCCATTTTGCCTTTAGGACAGTTTGGAGGTTCACTTGTTGAATTTGGCCTGTTTTACTGCTGCTTCTCCTCGCTCCCGATCCCATCCCTGTTCAGAGATTGTTAAATTTTGCAAACTGTGAGCCTGTGAAGCTAGATATGCTTTCATAATTAAGGCCTACATAAAAGAACTTCAATTGACTTCACTGAAATAGATTTTTTGCAAGCCCTTATATGGTATCATGAGGTTTTCCTCATTGGCTTGTCCTCGATAAAGTGGAAAAGTGTCATAAGTCATGTAAGTTACGCATGCCGTGATGAGTTCCAGTCACCATCTCGAGACAACTTACTTCTTCTCATCATCCTTCAGTAGGAATTGGACCACCAAGGCCTTTATCACCATCACGATGATAACTACGCCAATGACTCCGCCCAACACAGAGACAATGATGACAGTTAACGTATTGTCAACCTCCCTCACTGTGGACAAAGAGACATTGGGTGAGAGGTAGTCGACAAACAAAATACACGATAGGATATGTCAAAATGGTGCATACTTTGATCCACCACATAGAGAGTGAAGACAGTGCTGTGGTTGCGGTACTTCTCTTTCGGGTTTCTTGCAAAACAGGTGTACTCTCCTTCATCTTCAAAGGTGATATTCCACAACAGGACAGAAATATTGTGCTTCTTGGAAGAGCCTACAAACTCTATTCGCGGGTGTTGCACTTTCACCCTGGGCTCCACACCTTCGCTCGGAACCACCCCATTGCATAACTAGACAAACGCCCAAGAAAACTTGAATTGGTTACCCAGACCAGAGCTGACCATAAAGGTTTTACCAATGCGCCAATGCTTATGAGGTCCCTACCATTTGCATTGTGCCGTTATTATAATGCCAGCTGAAGTAGAGCTGGTGAATGCCAATGCAGGATGAGAAGGTGCAGGGTAACAGCACAGTGGAGCCATTCATCGCTTCGATTGATGACACTTTTCCTGTTGTTACCTCCAGTCCACGAACGTGCAGCACATCTGAATCAAAGACTGGGAGTAGGGCGCACAGAATAGATGGGAGTGAGTCGTGAGAGATCATCAGGTGTGCCGCGGGAAAATCATCAGATCCTCAAAATATACATAACAATATTGTCAATATTTGATTGAAATTGTGTATAGTATTCGTAATAATCTAGGTTCTAGTACACGGTGAAGCCTGCCTTTCGCCCAAAGTCAGCTAGGAAAGGCTCCAGTAGTGATGGACAAATGATGCTTCATGAAGCACCTGAGATATTTTTTGTCTCCTGTAGATGGCACTCTTGGTTTGCAGTGGAAACTTAATAACTTTCCATTGCACTAGCACACTTTCCATTGCACTTATCTTCAAACCAAAAGCACCATCAAGAGAAGTAAAACATACCAGTGCTTCATGAAGCTTCATTTTCCCATCACTAATGAAAATATTTAATATTTTATAACACTGGCTAGAATACGACTTTAAGAAGTAGATGATCGCTTCCAGAGAATTTTGACCACTAACATACTTGGAACCAACAAGAATGACCGGCTGGGGACACATATGAAAATAATGCAATATATTGAGAGTGATGTAAAAAAATTTAATTTAGTATTGTTCTTCTTATTCCTACTGTATGTGCATGGGTCCAATGAGTTGTCCTTGCTTCATGACAACCAGAGGAATCCTGACATTATTACTCTGGTGTCTGCCCACCCTTGAGTCCTATTTATAAACACTGTCCTCTCCACACTGACCATCATGGGATCACATTACACTTTGTGCAAACTGGGATTAAAACATTTTACGCCTGTACATTGGTGTTTCAGAGCTGATGTTTCGCCCCTGTTTTTCTTCGAGGTCCAACCACAAAAATAAGACTTGCTGTGTGTACAGTTCCAAATCACAAAATCAGTCTTGTTTCAAATATTTTGTTGTTCCCAAATCTCTTTACGTGTGACGAAACAAATGTGTTTACAAACAGAGCGCGTGTCAGATCATGTCTTCGTAGTTGTTTGGTTCTACTTCTGCCTGCTGATCTGCCCCTTTCATCTTGACTTCGACGAGTGGATATTTTTATCTCCCGTCTGCATTCAAGTTGACTCGTCTTTAATAGCAATCTGAGCTCGGGTCCCCTTTATTCTTTTCTCTTTCTGGAGCTTGTCTCTTTTAATGGACTTTTACTTTTCTTTGAGCTCTGGTCACTTTTAGCTTGTGCGTCTTATTGATCATAGAATGCATCTTGCAGGAATGTTGGAGTGAGATTGAAAAAGGTGCATGGTGTGTTTTTAGATTGACATAGTTGTGTTATCCTTGACCACTCAAGGATTTGAAATGTTTCCATGATGGGAAGGGTTTTGAATGCCTGGACGAACATTTCCATTGATCCATTTTCGATAGTGCTTGTCATCATTACATTGGGTCACGGGTGACCCAATGTAATGAGAGGTGAGAGGCGAGGTACTGCCCTGGCCTGGTCATTGGTCACAATTTAGGCGATTTCAAGTCTTAAAAGAACCAAACTTGCATGTTTTGGAAAATGGGAAGCAATGCTCATGTAAAAACAGGGAGGGGCTGCCATTTGAAGCCTGTCAATGAAAATTTGTTGAATCCTTGCTTATCGATGAAGTTGTAATATTTGAAATTTGGCCAAAATCGTCTGCGATTGAAATTGTGATTTATGAGCGAGCTTCGCATTCACCACGATGGAGAAAAAGTGGAAAAAACAAACGCCACTCTCAAGAATGGAATTTCAGCCATTTACTGAAAAGTAAAAAAGAGTCAAACAAACACTTGCAAGCAGCAACAGTAAACCAAAACTCAAGTCCAGATCCTAACAGAGACTGACGAGCCATGTTCCGAATGTCACTTACTCGGTCACACCCCTTGAAGGGACACATCTGATGTTGTGATTTTTGGCTTGTACAGTAATTACGCTTTATACAACCGATTTATTTCTTTACATTCTATTTTATTGTGTTTTAATTATGATTTTGTATAATACAGTGCTATGGTTTTTATTGTTAAACGTGCAACAATGTGTTGAGGTGATTTTTGGAAGCTCAAATGGATTAATGGAATTTAAATTCATTTCAATCTGTAATATTGATTTGGTTCAAGGGTAAACTGCGTTACGATCTTGGAACAAATCTGACTTGTCATTCAAGGTAAAAATCTGTGAATGTGAATTTGGAGTGTCGCTCTCATTCCACAATTTCTTATTATTTACTGGCCTTGCAATTACTGCACACTCATGTATATTTGTGCTTTATTAGCTCCATTGTCTCAACCCAACGTCAATATCTAAAATCAGTTCAGCTAATGGAACAAAATGCAATTGCTGGCATGTCTTGTCCTTGGCTCAGAGTCAAGGTGATGTGTTTTATTTAAGTAGGCCACGCATTGAAGAGTTAATGTATTTCTGAGCAAACCCACAGAGAACGGGCCGAGAACACAATTACCACTTGGAGAAGGTGGGGTGAGGGAGTGCTGCTGGGAAGAATGGAAAGGGAAGGGGGAGAATGCTCACAGAGGAAGAGAAAAAGGAGGAGGGACAGACATTATGGGTGGGAGATGGGAAGGAGAGCGTCACCAGGAAGAAGCAGAGAGATGGACATAATATCACTTGCATGTGTTGACTCCTATAAGTGCGTGCATCCATGTATGGCAACTTTTGACAAGTTGTATTACAGGTTATTGAAACTTGATAGAGACCTAAGTACCGATATGTGTAGGTATCCTATCTAATCAAGGTAATAATAATGCAGTGGTATATCTTTTGTATTACAGGTTATTGAAACTTGATAGAGACCTATAAGTACAAATATGTGTAGGTATCCTATCTAATCTAGGTAATAATAATGCAGTGGTACCTCTCCTTAGGAAATTAATTGGTTCTGGAAGAAATTAGTTAACTAGAAAATTATGTAAGTAGAGACGTGTTTTCCATCTAAATGCCCTAATCCGTCCCAAACCTCCCCAAAATTCAGACATAAATGTTTTCTAAAGCAAAAAAATGCATCAAAATGTGTAACAAATGCATGTTACAATTAGATTATTGCTTAATAAATGAGTTGTGCATAATGTAAAAACAAAGAATAAAGAATAAAAATATTGGTCATTTACATTTTAACTGCTTCCTCATCTGTTTTTTTGCCCTCTTTAGTTCATGTTCTCTCTCAGAAGTGTTTTTTTCCTAAAGAATTGATCCAAGGACGTTTGCTTTTGTTGGCTTTTATCAATCCTTCGAAAATGTCCTAGGCAAACATCAGCATCGTGAGTGATCGCCGGACTGGTGAACACTTTTCCTGGGTGATTCACATTTACGTAAATCTATCGGAACGCCTCATTGCCCGAGGGGCGAATGACGCCGACACTGCATAGGCACATATCCATCTATTTATCTATCTACACACAGACACATACGGTAGAGGTCTCTCTTAGCCAATGGGATGCCAGGAAGATGCTAGATAAAAGCCAATGGCAGTGCAGCTATAAGTATGTGTGCCTTCACTCTTTCATGAAAAACGAAAGTTAGCCCTAAAGCCAGGTGTTGCTGACAGCCCTGGAGCTGGAACACAGAGCTCCCCTGCACCTCGACTCTGTCTGGAATCTCAGGCCGGGAATGGCTAAAATAAGATTACTTTAATTAAAGCAGTATACAAATTAAGTTGATTAAGATGTGAACTGTACTGTGATTTGAATTTGCAATTGCTGCACTGCTTCACGACCATACTGATGTGTTTATGTATTTTTAAAAGCGGGAGTTAAAAAAAAAAACAACACTCTTGTATCCGTTAAAACTGTCAGTATGACCTGACAATAGGACTTAAGTAAAATGATCTATGAAAATATCAGCCTTCCTTGGTCCCATGTTCTGCTTCTAATGTGATTTGCAAAAAACGACCGCACCTCAGGAAAAAGCAACCAATCGGAAACAGAAACCCACAAATTGGACAGATCCTGAGACAAAGCAAGTGTGAAAAGGAGTTTTCTTTCACGGGGGGATCTCAGGCCACTTGGATGCAGAATTGACATGGAATGCAACATTGCTGCTCAAGAGATACATTTTTTCATCTCAGATTTTTAATTACCGTAATTGTACATAAAAAAAACAAAAAACATTTATTTTTAGAGTAACACTCCATGACAAATAAGTAGTGTAGCAGCCGTGGCTAACATAAGCTTGTTTTCAGTCCAGATTAGGCCTGGTACACACATAAAGAGAATGTTTTTGTCATGTTTTTCCCCTTCCTGAACACCACATTATATTATGTGTCATACAATTATCCATTAAGAAGGTCCGATGGCCTGAGATGTGTTCAGTTAATTTTCCCCAATTATTAGGGATCAATTTAAAAGCGGGAGTTGGGGGGCAGTGCCCTCCCCTGGGGGTGCACTGTTCCCCAGTGCCGGTCCCAAGCCCGGAGAAATGGGGAGGGTTGCGTCAGGAATGGCATCCGGCATAAAACTTTTGCCAAGACGACCATGCGAGTTGGTAGGACGGTTTACAGGGGCGGATGGAAATTACTGACTCGCTGTGGCGACCCCTGAATAGGGATGTGCCGAAAGGAGAAGAAGAAGAAGATTAGGGATCAAAATTGGTTGGGGCAGACAATCTTTAAAATAACAAATGATATTTGAATAGCTACGGACAAAAAAAATCTTTCCGTGTGGGGAAAGCCGACTACTCTCAAGTCATCACTCTGTGAATTTTCATGCGGAAAGGGAGGAATCATTTGGGCATCTCTCCATTTCTGTGACCAATCCAACTCGACATAATTCATCCGAAAAAAGGTTCATGTTCTGGACCTTGATAAGTACAACTCAAATTGTATGTCAGCAAGTTTGCACTCCAAGGTGTGGGAGGTAAACCCGAACGTTTGGACTTGAAGGTATGGATTTACTGTGATGGCAATGAGCCACCCACTTTGCATACAATTAGTTTGACACAGAGGAAGTAAACGATGCTCTGAATGAGAACAAATACACTTCATACCACCAACACACGGAAAGGTGCAAAACAAAAATTTACGGTGGACAGAAAGAAGTCCAACTCACCGAGCAGCAGCGCAAACAACAGACCTGGCACACCGGTGTTTTCCAATGACGCCATGATACCACTTATCTTGTCCGAATGCTTGTGTTTTTCCCTATTCTGAATGTTGCCCTTGTCCTGTCACAGTTGAATTTGGCCAAAAACAAAATGTGGCTCTCTTACAGGTCTTTGGAGAAAGGTGGTCGTGCTTTCAGTCCCTCCCTTTGCCCCCCACCCCCTCCTGTCCCAGGAAGGACGCGTAAAGAGTTCTGTCCAGGCTGGGGAATGCGTCCCCCCCCCCGGCCCCCTGTTTGTGTCCCTGTCTTCCCCTCTCACTCGCCCACTCTCTCTCTCTCTCTCTCTCTCTCTCTCTCTCTCTCTCTCTCTCTCTCTCTCTTTCTGTCTTCGGTCAGGAGTCTCAGTGGTGATCCAGCAAGCCACAAAAAAAAAAAAGGCAGCACAGAAGCTGTTTGACGACGTGCTGTGGAGTCAGATATAGCCTCAACACTCAGGCAGCAGAGGGATCTGTCAGGCAAGCGCACCAGCCAGCAAGCCACACAGAGGGGAGATGTAGGCTGGAGCAGTGCTGGATGGAGTCTGGGAGAAAGGAGGCACAATGAGGGATGCTGGCGCAGAGCGGCCAGGCAGAGGAGCAGAAAGCGAACGTTTCCACGGCCGGCGAGGAGAGAAATGAGTGCGGAAGGTACTGCAGAGGGACAGAGGGGATGAAAAAGAGAGAGAGAGAGAGAGAGCTGGGAGGAGGGCGGGGAGGCTCGGGGTGTGTGTTAGAGAGGTGAAGGTGATTACCAATGCCATGTTCACACACACATGACAATTCAGGGCAATTTCGCTGACTCAGCCATACTTTACAGGAGTTGAAGACAGGATGAGTGCTTTGCTTCAGTCACGCCACATGAGCACCACTCAGTGTCGTCTTTGCTGCATCCTCTTGGCCTGTCTCACTTCCATGCGTCTTTTACTTCACGCTCCCTCCCGCTGTCTTGCACTGGCAACCATCTGACCTTGTTCAATGGCAAGACAGACATCTTAATCTATATGACTATCACGGTTAAGGCAAACAGACAACAAGGTCAGACACAAAAATAATGGACGTTAAAATAAGAAACCATCGGAATCAAGTTAACTTCCATCCATCTTTCCATTTTCGATGCAGCTTGTTCTCTTTCGAAGCCGATAGCCCAGACGACTGGGCCATAGGCGTGATACACATTGGACTTCAATGAGCAAAAATAATTTGATATACTGTTCGGTAAATTGAGTGACGAGCATACTTAGTATAGTACTTCAACAGCCAATCAGAACCTATCAACATAAAAACATGTCTAAGCAATTATTAAACAACAGAATATAATTTAGGTATTCTTAACATGAAATAATGTGATGCTCAAACATAAAATAATAATTATTAATATAACATAAGCTTACATTTGTATCAAATAATTGTTAACTTTTGGTCCCGCTTTACACCTGATGATCTCTCACCGATCACGAGTAGTTGTTCATCACACTCCGGTCTATTTCACGCTCCTTGGGGAATGCTGTGTTGATTAATCTTAACGCAGTAATCATCAAAGACAAATATATCCTGAAACTGTAAACCAAAAGATTGAAATCTAGCTGCCGAGGTGACATAATTTGAACCTTCTCAAACCCATCATATGAGCCCTTCACCAACATTACACAAAGCAAAGAGACCTTCCATAAATCTCATCCAAACCACCAACGCAACCCTGCAGTGGCAGTGAGGGATTGCGGTCCACGCCGTTGATGTGCAGACTGACCTCCTTCACTGGATTCATCACTTCCTACTTTAATGCCTGCGTCAGCTGCATAAAAGTCATCACAGTGAACCACGACTTTATCACTGGTCATTTTCTTTGCTTTCTCGGTGAAAAATCAATTTATCTTCTTGACAACATGAAAGTCATCTATGCAGAAGGTGGGTCACGAAGGTCTTCAAATTAATGTTGATTTGTTCTGGATGGATCTGTGCATTACAGAGTGTCCTTCAAATTACGACTACTCTTTCTCATTCTGTCTCTCATGTAGTTCCCGTAAGATCCACAATTCACGATTCAAATAGGAGTGACCACACATACACGCACCGGTGTGGATCGTTCGATAAACACTCAGAGAGCCAAGGGACAAGGGAGTTAACCTTTGCAAGTCCACGATCATATGTAGTGGCAGTGGCATATGTGCACACGCACCTGCTCCTGCGCGGGGGTGACCTTGGAACGCTTTGAAGGCGGAGCAAGAGAGGACATTGCACTTACGAGAAGAGGGGAGAGGAGAATATTAGCGAGCGGTGGGAGAAAATCATGGTGGGAGGGAAGGAGGAATTTGTGAAGATGCAGAAAAGGGTCTGCGGGGAGTGGATGTAACAGGAGGCAAAAAGGAGTAACATGAGAGAGAGCGACGGAGGGTGTGGAGGATTTCTTTCTGGGGCGGCCGAGGTGCTGAAATGCTGCAGTCAAGCCACATGGATAACATTGCTGACACGCACGAACAATACACATAGAACTGCTCACCGGCCGTAACCCTTTCTCGACCACACCAACGTCATCTTTCTGGATGTGCCCCCCCACACACACACAAAGAGTCTGATTAACCTCCCTATCACCCAACACTTGGGCCTGCTCTCCTTTCTCGTCTCCCTCCCTTTCCTCCTCTCTCTCTTTGCACCAGCCGGTGAGTGAGCACATTTCAGAGAGCATCCTGAGTGGCCCTGTCTCAGCCTCATCTTCAGACTGTCCCCATCTGAGCATCCTATCTTTCACTCTTCTCACCATGACCCTTTTTTCCCCCCTTCGTTCTGGGTCCACCATCTCCTCTGTGTTGTCTTTCTGCGGTTTCCACGTCTTTTCCAATCGCTCTGGGCCGTCCCATCTGACAGTTTGGCGGGGAACAGGGTAAAATAAAAAGGTGAGTCCCGTTTAAAAGGGAGGGACAAAGTTTTGCAAGTGTTAGCTCGAAGTTGCAGACTTGGGTGCGGAGTCATCACGGAATATTAGATATGCCTGTGTGCAGAGATTATTACGGCGAGATTGTGCAGACTTGTGGTTGGCCTTAAAATGAAGGACGCTCGAAAATGGCTGTGATGTACTTGATAAAGGCAGAATGTTTACTATATAGCCATGAAAATCGACTCTCACTTACATTTACGGTATATTTCTTGTGTCCAAAATGATACTTTTATCAACTGTGATTTGTCCATTTGTGAGGACAAAAACTATTTTTTTTGTTTTGTTGCATTGCTATCTTTTAGATGGAAATGGTAAAAGGTTGCGGGGAGTTGTGTTCAGAGATGGATTAATTAATTACAGGCATGTTATTTATATATAGATATAGATATAGATATATATATCTATATCTATATCTCTATATATATATATATATATATATATGTGTGTTCTAAATCTCTTGCTTAGCATGTTTTAGGACAGCAATATGGAATTAGTGATTAGCAAGTCTGCCTCACAGATCAGATCTGAGCTCTGGCCCTTCTGTGTGTGTGCGTGTGTGTGTTTGTGTGTGTGTGTTATTCCTGTGCTTGTGTGTTCTCTCTTGGTACTGTAACATCCCCAAAACATGCATTTTAGGATGAATTTTGTTAATTGAAGACTCTCGTGCGGGTAAACGGTTCAGATAATGGATGGTTGGTATGAATAATGTGGAAATGGTTGACAAGAGCGTTCATCATCCATATTTAAATTGGCTTATAAACACACGTAAATGTTGAGTTTACTTATGCTGAAGTTTTCAAGAGCATGTGTGTCATGAATTTAGTCTCACGAAGATGTTTTGTCCTTCTGTCCTTCAAAGTCTTATGTGATTCAAACACAATAAAGGGCAAATATGATGAAATACTTTATTCCGATTTTTTTCCCCAACATTCGCAGTGCTGAAATTAAGGATACATGGAGAACATATCTTCCGTAGCATATAATCACCATGCTATGTTGTAACTATAAAGTGCACATCTTCCAGGAAACCATTTACATACCTAACATTTTAGATGCTTTTCTCATTGACACCTTTTTTTTTTTTTTTTTGCATGCTCTCAATTACAGTATTATCTAAAACAGTGGTTCTCAACTGCTGTCAGTCTGGGATCCGCATTGTCTTATTGTTGCAAAGATGCATGTTTTTTTAGTAAAAAAAAACAAACAAAAAAACATAGTAAGGTATGTTACTTTTTAAATGCAGTTTCAAATGAGTCTGACATACTGCCAAGAACATATTGAGCTATGAAGTGCGTTTGCCCAAGCCTGCGTTGCACTGTTTTTGTTCAGAGAGGAGCTAGTGACTAGAACAAAAGTGTGCTTACACCTCAGTACTGTCCTGGGAAAAAAATAAATAAAAATATAAAAATCAGAATACTGGTAGATATAATTTTTTTACGAGCTGCACTTTTGGGTCCCGACCCACCAGTTGAGAAGCACTGATGTGAAATATGTGACAATGTGCAAAACAGTGACCTGACCTTTGAGACAGGAAAGGATATCATGAAAATCTTAAGACACACACACACACACACACGCACGCACGCACGCACGCACACACACACACGCACACACACACGCACACGCACACGTACACGCACACACACACTTTTGCTTTGCTGCAATTGGAATGCAAATCTCTATAAAATACAACTCCAGTTGGACATCATGCTTCTATAACAAACTTTCTTTCGTATTATTTAAACTAAAAAAAAAAAAAGATACAAAACATCAAGGCAGCAATTTGTTCTTCTTTTCAAACACAATTTTCTTGTCGAACAATGAAATAAGTACGATATAGATAAAAAGTGTCCATTGCTACGCAGTGTAAAAGATTAAGCATGCACACAGAAACCCATGTTTGTTTCTCGTTCTGACATAACTTAAGACTAGTACATGTTGAAATGTGTTAACCCACATGCATTGAGTACACTACACTGTTTTTGTCTCATCAAATGGTTATGGCGCTGAACTAAACGAAACAAAGTGAGGGACCTGTTCAACTATTGAGATGAGACACACTACAATCAATGACATTTTTGAGCTCTTGATGCTCTGCCTTGACGTGATGGTTTACTCCAGGCTGAACATCTGCCTGAAGTAGTAATTTCCGTAAACTATAGAGGGATGGATGGCACGGTACATGCACGCTGCTTAACACAGGTTAAGACGAGCGCTTTGCGCCATTGTGGGCGTCAACACAGCTGAATTGACTGGCCACCAATACATGGGACTCCTTCCTTTCCATTTAAAATTGGTGCATAAGAGGCGCGCAGTCCTTGAAATGGCAGAAATGGAAACGTATTTGCTGGAGTTCATGAGGGAGGTTGTAGTGCGTAAAGTACGACTATAACACACTGGCAAACCAAAAATAACCGTCTACTTCTGTGCTTCGAAATAATTTTATTGCATGCGGTGCGCGGAGTCAAATATCAGCTTGAACTAATAAGGACTATATCAGTTACCAATGTTAAATAAATGTTTTTCAAAATAATAGTCAATTACAACATTGATTTTGCCTGGTTAATGTGATTTTTGCTCTTGGATCTTAGCGAGCTGCGTTGGCACATCAGGGATATAGACAAGCCTCATTTTTATTAATGGTTATAAGCTGTTATCTGTAAGGGCCAAGCGATGCTTGTTTTTAACATCCCGGTAGGTCATGTAGCACATAGCATTCAAAAGGCTGAAAGAGCCACTGGGGGCTGGAGACCCCAATACTAAACCATTGAGTTAGCCCTGAATCGGAATTCTTCATTTGGTCCAACGCACAAAGCAAGATTCGTAAAAAAAAAAAAAAAGGATTGGATGAGTTTGGTGCCGAAGAACATGACAGCCCTTCAAATCCCTTTGGGGTGTACTGGAATGTTAATTTTTCCAACATGAATGAACTCAAATATCTCATTTAAAATATTTTTATGCAAAACAAAGAGGCAGCGAAAACCATATTTTCTTCCATTTCAAGTGTTGCAGGCCGGTGTTCCAATACTTTTGTCCATACGGTATATATCGTGAGAAACAAAATATTTCGTGTTCTTTGATCCTTTTGTTTTACTGTGATGTTCCAGTGCTAATCTGTCATACATGTTCAATGACAAATTTGTTCCTTGGATAGATGAACATGTATAACATACCGTATTTTCCACACTAAAAGGTGCACTGGATTATGAGGCGCACCTTCAATGAATGGCCTATTTAGTAATTTCTTTCATAAATTGGGCGCACCGCATTATAACTCGCAATCTACAATACCTTCCACTCAAGGAAATGCCAACAGAATGATCAGATCTCAGTAAAACTTATTTAATAAAGCAGCGACACAGTTCACGTAACCAACCAAGTTATAACATTGATTCATTAACGTTGAACTCTCTTGCCACTGCTCTATTTCCGTGTTCAACTGTGTAACCGATCGCCTTAAGTTTGAACTCTGCGTTGTCAGCATGTCTCGAGCAAGGAGCCATTTTGGGGTCGAAATATTACTGTAACTCGAATTTTAAGGCGCGCTGTGAGCTTCTACGAAAATGGAAGGCTTTCAGGTGCACCTTTTAGTGTGGAAAATACGGTACCAGTAGTTACCATTGTAGATGTAATCAGTGTCTGTAAAGAGACAAACACACACACATCTCTCTCTTTCTTAAGCACAAACACGCACACACTTGTGTCCACTGAAACACACAAACATGCAGAGGGAACAGATGCACTTGGTGGTGAATGATTCAGTCAGTGGTTGTTCTGGACAGAGGAATGACGACACAATATCTTCTGGAAGAAAACAGAAGGAACAACCTGAACAATCTTCGAACCCAAAACAAACATCCACAAGCAGTGAAACATACAGTACTTTTGAAATTCTATTGAAAATCTATTCTCCTTGTTTGTTTATGAATGAGAGTGATCGAGGAAAAAGCAATATTACAATAGAAGTGAATCCGTAAAATTGTAAATAATGTCATAAACTCTCCTTGATGTACTGCAGAAGCTAAAGTCGATGTAATATACTGGACCATGTGAAAAAACAAAACAGTCATTGAAGTATAATTGTCTGTGTTGACCTTCACTTAAATAAAATGTAAATGGTCAGAGAATGTATATTGCATACATCATTAGTTAATCATGGATAAACATCCCTGAGTGCACATTATGATGTCGCTCCCTCTGTTTTTGACAGCAAGACAATTGAATAGAAGTTTACCAGGGGGACGTGCTGGGTCGACAGCTCTGCAGGCTCCTAATTTGTTCTGATGACCCATTTAAGTTTGTCTGCAAATGTCAGAAGAGAGATTGACATTCAGAAAGAGTTTGATCAGAGAGGGTTAGAAAGTCTGAAGCTTGGTTGACAATCTGTGAGCAAAATCATAAAGTCATCCGAAAATAGACGCTGGAGCTGATGCCAGCTGACACTCTGGACTGGTTCCAGTTGATTAAAGGGGCCAGGGACATTTTTACTAATGGGCTTACCTGGGCTGAAGGCCAGGGGACTATCAGAATTAAAAAAAAAAAAAATTCTGTGCAACCCGTGGCTGTAATTATAGTGTCCTAAGAGTCTTAATAGTTTCATATAATTCTGCCACTTTTTGAACTTTTTTTTTTTCCGATGTGAATGAATGATTTCCTACTTTGTCCCCTCATCTGCGGCACCTTCGGCCTCTAATTTCCCCTCCTCCTCCATCTTCTCCTCTGAGGTCAGATCCTGTTTGAGATGATGACGGAGAAATTTCACAACCACCATGGAAAGGATGAGGAGAGCAAGCGCTCCGCCCACCGATGCCCCGATTGCAACGGCGATCGTCGAGTCTCTCGGGGGGGGAACTGAAGGAAACAAAGGGGAGAGTTAAGTATATCGTATGGACAAGAAATGGAGTGCAGTGCTGGCTAAAAGCTCCACTGGGCTGATTAAACAGAGTGGAAAGAAAGTGCTGCTGAGTTAGCCTAGCTAGCGTGTAAGTGGGAGAAAGATGCTGAGGGACTAAGTTCAACCTCTCGTAGGCCATTAATAAATAAAAAGCTGACTCGTGAGCAGAAGGTCTGCAAAATCAAACAAACACACACACAAAGTGATGTTACGTCGGATTATTATTTGGCATCGAGAGTATTTGGAAAGAACTCAAAGACATTTCTGCAGTTTAGAAAGAACTGTAAAAAGATGTCCATTTGCGGATGATGTCAAGTTGGGAGACAGCCTTCTACCCCCGATCATGTGTGACAACCCGCTACCCACACATACACCAATCGTGCCAAAACAAAAATGCACCTTTAAAATGACTAATTTGCTCATCAAATGATTAGAAAAATTCTTCTTCACAAAAGTTCTTTCCAGCCCTGTAATGTATGCAATCGAACCCATCCATCCATCCATTTTCAGATCCGCTTTATCCTCACAAGGGTCGCGGGGGTTGCTGGAGCCTATCCCAGCCGTCTTAGGGCAGTAGGTGGGGGACACCCTGAACCGGTTGCCAGCCAATCGCAGGGCACACAGAGAAGAACGACCATCCGCGCTCACACTCACACCAAGGGACAATTTAGAGTGTTCAATCAGCCTGCCATGCATGTTTTTTGAATGTGGGAGGAAACCGGAGTACCCGGAGAAAACCCACGCAGGCCCGGGGAGAACATGCAAACTCCACTCAGGGAGGCCGGAGATGGAATTGAACCCGGTACCTCTGCATTGTGATGTTGACGCGCTAACCACTGGATGCAGTTGAACCACTAAAGTGAAATACTTCTGCATTTGTACGCGTTGGAAGTTCGACTAACGCTGTCAAACAAAAAAAAAAAAAAAAAAGGAGAATCAACCACTCTACAATCTGAGCTCTATTGACTGTATCCTCAAGGCAAGTTTGGGATCAAGATGAGTCCACATTTATTTCTCCAGGAGGGAGGGGTGAGGATCTTACGTTCAGTCGAAACTTTAAGGTTGATGGCCCCGTGTCCATGTATGCGGTCCGGGGGATTGATCACGTAACAGTTGTAAATCCCTTCATCTTCCTCCTGAACATCTAATAGAGTGATGGAAAGGTCATTCTTAGCCAGGTTGCCCGCAAATAGCACCCTCTCTCCAAAGCGCTCTGGAAGCAAAGCCACCATTCCTTTCTTCCTATCGTATGCCAAAAACTATGGAAAGACAAAAGCAATGGTTGGTAAATGCAGTTTTGACAGTGCGTTTCTTCATATTTGGCGATCTTTCTGACCATTTTTTCTGTATCGTTGATTGATTCATGGTAGGTCCAGTTCATGACAAACTTGTTTGTGTCTATCTGATAGCAGGAAGTGAAACTGCACGGGATTTTGATGTCTGATCCATTCATGACGTGGATTTTATTGGGCACATTTACATCCATGCTTGAACAACCTGAAAGAAAACAACAACATATCATTAATTGTTGGACAGAAAAATGGGATGACGAGTACATTTCCAGTGGCAGACGTTGTGTGGGGAAAAAAAAACAAACAAAAACAAATCAATGGAACCTTGACTGTTCTCGACCAAATCGTTTTTCAACCAGAAAATTCGAGATTTTTAAGACCTTGAATTTTTTGGACAACTGGTAGTTCGGAGTTGTTAGTGCACAAATATATCTCCATCATCACAAAAAAGAATAGAAAAGATTTTTATTTACTTAAAAAAAAAATCGTTGAGACAACTTGGAAAGGCAATGCTACTCTATTAAGTTTTTAAAGTGTTTCCACTGCGTTCTTAAAAACAGCTAAACCCAACAATATTCCACTTCAAAGTCACTTGAAGTTATCACATACGTGTCGTTTGAACAATGATTGCCGGTACTTCTATATGAATGATGAGTCTGGTAAGCATGAGTTTGCACTCCCCTGACAGAATTGTGTGTGTGTGTGTGTGTGTGTGTGTGTGTGTGTGTGTGTGTGTGTGTGTGTGTGTGTGTGTGTGCGTGCGTGTGTGAAGGGACTCTGCACCATTTTCTACTGCAGTTGGGTGTTTTTGGCTTGGTTCCCACTGCTGCTGCACCACTGCCTCTCTGCAGCGTGCCGCATGCGCCGCGCGCGCGCGCACGCACACACACACACACACACACACACACACACACACACACACTGGGATTTGAACAGAAGACACACACACACACACATACACACACACACACAAAATGGAATTTGAACAAAGCTATGTACACTTTTTCCATCCACTGGGCAGAAGCAATGAATGACTCAGCACTCCTACACAGGAAAGACAGGCAGGTACTCTATGAGCCAGTGGCACTCGCAAAGACAAGAAGTACTGCAGTGAAGCAGCCTCATGCATGCCTCAGGCCCTTTGCCCCTCCCATCTTTGTCTGCCTCACTTGCCCCCCCCCTCTTATTTTCTATCAACACTCCTGGTACCCAAAATGTCAGTTAGCTCATCCTGTCGTCCTTATTATGAATACATGTATCTGTCTCTTTGGTCTTTGTGTGTTCGGTGTGTGTTACACATGCAAGGTCAATGCCGGAAAAGTGAAGGTGAATGTACAGCACGTTGAATTCTCGCTCATTTTATGTTATGTGTGGGTTTGCGTGTTCTCCGTTTGCTTGCGGGGGTTTCCTCCAGGCCTCCTGCCACATTCCAAACACCTGCATGTTGTGTTCAACGAAGATTCCAGAGGTGGGAATGTGATCATTATTAGAGGTGTAGAAAAACTCAGGCTTCAACAATTGGTTAAGATATTAAAACTAGTTTTTGTTTATTTGTTTGTGAGTGACCTACAGGAAAACGCAGTCAGGAGAGGCTCAGAAGCTGAACATCACCTGCACGTGAGGAGTCCCCCAAAAAATTCATCAATAAAAGTCTTTTCCATTTTTGTTCTCCTGTCTATGCTTTCTACTGATTTTATTTTTGAATCCAATGTTCATGATGTCATTGGTAAACTTGCTGAATTTGTGCATTTCCTCTCCAAATACATGGCTGATGCAGGAAGTGGGGCAGCAAGCAGCTATTGTCACCTCAGATGGCCCCAATCCCTCACAAAAACTGGAAACAACACAGTTCAACGGGACCATCTATTGGTAAAATTACTGTACTAACACAGATGAAGCTATTGGTAAGTGCCTGTCCTGTCTCCGATATAATGTTTTCAGACACTTCCAATATACATTTTGATTTTCTGTATTCAGGCAAATTATTTAACGTTTATGTGTTAGAGTGCAACTTTAATTTTGCTTATTGCATAAAATTGCAGACAAAGCACCAGGGGCGGCAAAAAGGATTACGCTTCCACACTGTCTTCAGCAGCCTTGTTTTGAGTGGCTCTGGCAGCCTCACTAATTGAATTTGGTGCCGGTGTTTGACACAGCCAAGTAGCTGCTAGCCAGGCTGCTCTCGTCATACTGTACAGCTCACAAATGGTGGGCAATTAATTAAAAAAATAAATAAATAAAACACTCCCAGAGAAATTCTCATCTTTTTGGATAAAAAGAATTTGATGTGCACTGGAGATGACAAAGTTACTCCTGCTTCTTGCGCTCACTGGGCAAGCTGCAATAGTGTCCGTGGAAAGATCATTTTCCCATCATTTAAAAGATGCAAAACATTAATTCGCAATAGGACTGCAAAAGAAAATTTTCTGACTGGAATCATCTGTACTAAGATGGAAACATTTTGAAACTCAAAGAAGAAAATGAAGACTTGGAGACTATGTGAAAGTAATTAAGGTAAGGCATTTTAAATTGACCTGTGAAACTCAAAGAAGAAAATGAAGACTTGGAGACTACGTGAAAGTAACAAAGACTAAGGTAAGGCATTTTAAATTGACCTTAATAAGATCAGGTATGAACAATAAAATAACTTCAAATTCAAATACAAAACGAGACTTCGAACTTATAAATATTTTTTGTTATTAAAATAAAATAATGGGGGCAATTATTTATTTATGTATTTTTATTGGTTTTAAACAATTTTCTATGTCTTGCTGCTAACTTAATGGCAAATAAGCCACTCCATTTGGCTCGTAAATCTGATTTATATTTAATTAGACAAACAAATGAGTTGAAGAAGATGTAACTGCAAAATATTGAAACAGACATATCTACAGTGAAGCTGGGGTCATTTAATTGAGTGGCCCGTTGCTGCCCTCTAGTGACGCCAATCGGTAACACAATGTTCAGAGAGGCTGTTGAAACAGCACAAATTGATAGACAAGAAAACGTATGCAGAGCTACCACAACGAAGAAATACTGTAATCCTGACATATTTGCCCAGCTTAAGAAAACAAGGCTGTTGATGTACGCAAAGGCATTACACCACAAGCTTTCCCACATAACTGCATTCTGAGTTGTTGTCATGGAGACAGAAAATGGTGTGGCACCTCACTTGGTGAAAAAGATCAATACGGCTAAACAAAAGCTGCTTCCTGTAGACAGTTGACCACTTTGCCACTTTGCTAAATTTAGCGTTTCCAAATCGCCTGCATTTTTGGTTTGGAGCGAAACAGAGAAGTTGGAAGGCGTCTTTCTTGACACCTGAACATTACCTTTTTTTTTCGGGGGGTGGGGGGGTGTCCATATACCTTTCTTATTCATACTGCCACCCTCTCCCCCACCAATGTCAGATTTGTTTGAATTGGATGGGGGTCTTCGGGCACAGATTCCCAACAATTCAAGATCTAAATATCACAAAATCGACGTTTCTAGTTGATGGATAGCCTTTACAGCTGCAAGCATCATTATAAAAACAAGAAGGCAGTTGCATATACATTCGTGTGCTGTCACAGTACCGTCAGGTAAAGCGAATACAGTATTTGGTTTGAATAGTAATTACGCTCATCTTCATTGGCCTTGGGCATCCACACTAAGTGATAAGATTGTGGGTTTCAGCTGTAAGTGGTATCGACATGTGTAACTCAGGCACCACAGAAACCTGTAGACTCCATTTTTAGTTTTACGTGGCACATCTTAAATGGGGACGAGAGGGTGTATTTAGGCCTTAGAAATCAGAAAAATGGCGAAGACAGCTGTTTTTACAAAATGTTTCGATTTTATGGCTTGAGCGACGTCATTTCTAAATGTAATTCTACACAAGTCACATAAATACAGTAATAAGATGCGATAATGTGCTTGTTGAGTGAAGCCCTCCTGTCAATGTAGGGCGGCGTGCTTACCGGAGACGGAGAGCATCATCATTACCGACAACAGCAGTAACCGAACGTCAGACCTCCATTTCCCCAGTGCACTAACACACATGGCCGCTGCTTCGGGAAGCACAAACAACGTTTTCACACCTTCAGAAAAATAATGACGGTGGGAAAAAGAAGCAAAAATATAATTGAGAGTGACTAAAAAGGCTAAAAAAAACAGCATATGTTTACATGCAGGACATGGCTGGCAGTGTCTGTAGCCTTATGACGGTTGGTCTCATGGTTGCCCATTTGTTTGCATCGGAGGCGGGAGGGTGAAAACAGACGAGGAATGAAATGCATCACTATGCTTCTGAACACTTTTTTTCAAAAGGTGATATCGCGTAAAAAAACCAACATTATTTTTTCAAAACTGAAAATATAATGCGATGCATCACAACGATCGCTTTAAGTAGCCTGTTGCTGTAGGCTATACGTGTACATTCAGATGAAGCGCCACTGTATGCGTGAAGTTAGAAAAGTGTTTTTTTCCATATTGATTGAGAATGGAAGGTAAACTGTGTTTTTTTTTTCTTTCTCATATTGACTGAGAATGAAAGGTAAACGGTTCAGACACCTGCCAGTAAGTGTTTGGAATAAATGAAGTAATCGTGCACACTAAACAAATAATTTCCCCATCCCAATCGATCTTCAGGGCTGCAAGGATTGGAAAATGCAGGAATACGGAAAATAAAATAATTAGAGCTAAACAACAACTGTCAATCACGGTCAGGGAGAGTGAGAGGATTTTGTAAGACAAAAATAATGTAGAGTGTTGCGATCCCTCTGTTTTCTTCCCCGGTGTTGAACATAAATCACTTGCAAGCCAGACTCCGAGTCGATGGCTTTAATGACATCTTCAAATGTCATCAACAAGCAGTTCAAAGTGAACCTGCAAATAGCGCGTAATAATGTGCATCGATAATCATGCCCAAAGTGGTATATGAATATTTTGGCTTCTTCTTCGTTTTCTTCATTCGTGAATGTAAGTTAGCCCAAGGTCGATTCATGGGGTACTATACCCTAAAGTGAATTCTAGATTTGTTTTATTTAACACCATTCATATCAACAAATTGCTCTGTGTAGTCAATATAACTAATTCAGCATTTGATGGCAACTTCCAGTATTCCAGGTTTATTGTAGTTCTTTCTGGAGCCAGAGGACGGCGCTGTGACTCTGTGTTCACAACACCACACTAAGGCAAGTATGTCTCAAAATATAAAACGCTTTTCTAGTTTTCATTTCGCCGCTAAAAACCAAAACAAACATCTTCTATTTAGGGCCACATGCATACATAACATGCATACATTATGAAGTGCCTACAGCATGTCAGTGGAGATTTGCAAATCAACGAAAATCTTTCCTTTTTTCCCCCTTCTTCTTTTTCTTCTTCTTCTTCTTCAAAATAAACCAAAACCTTGCGTCTATCAAAGAGGTCTCAACTGGAATTGGCCAGCATTCTTCTTTTCATTTCTTTTGTCCTTCTGCGGGAATTTTTTTTTTTTCCCATCCATCCATCCATCCATTTTCCGGACCGCTTTATCCTCACAAGGGTCGCGGGGGTTGCTGGAGCCTATCCCAACTGTCTTCAGGCTGTAGTTGCTGTATGCTCTCTCCCGGCCTGTGTGGGTTTTCTCCAGGTACTCCGGTTTCCTCCCACATTCAAAAAACATGCATGGCAGGCTGATTGAACACTCTAAATTGTCCCTTGGTGTGAGTGTGAGCATGGATGGTTGTTTGTCTCTGTGTGCCCTGCGATTGGCTGGCAACCGGTTCAGAGTGTCCCCTGCCCACTGCCCGAAGACATCTGGGAGAGGCTCCAGCAACGACCCTTGTGAGGATACAGCGGATCGGAAAATGGATGGGTGAAAAAGCTGTCATTCAAACACGTGTGTGTAGACTTTTTTATATCCAATGAAGAGACTAATGCCAAGTACAAAAACTTGGTTAATGAAATCAATCAGTGGATTAACATTCTGCGTGGAGTCGCTATCTGGGGTTCGCAGTGAGAAATCGCTATACTACCAGCGAAGAAAAAAACCCAGCATTCAAACAAAAGACTTTTGAAGACTCCTTCGACAGCAAGCACAAGTGGAAGGGGGAGTCCAATCAAGTTAAATGCGTAAAAACCACTTCCTGCTGAGAAGAACTGCAATTTGTGCTCAGAATGAGATAATCAACACTACCTGGAGTGAGGACAAGTGGCACATCAGTGCTACATTTTAAAATAGCCTCCAAGCAATCAGAAAAGAAGCAATAACTACTCGACCATGTCAGACATCTGAAGCACAAACGTGGAGGTGAACTAAATAAATCAGACGTGATCATCTTCTATTTAGCAATCGGATACAATCCTCAAATTCTGGTAGACTGCACAAATTGTATCTTAAAGCATTGACGGTTTTTAAATTATTCTAAATAGCAAACATAGGAATTAGCAACCCCTCATCACAATTTAAAAAAGAAGAACATCAGCCTTTCTCTCGTGAACATGTTAACTGAGGAACCATTCGGAGACATAATTTCTCGGCAGCTTCTCGCCTGAAAGATAACAACAGTATCAATGAAACACTTGCTAAATGGGTGGTGGACTGTGTGGACTGTGTGTATTGCATATTGATCGATAACACATGCCGCTGGGCTGAAAAGGAAGGCACAAGTGGATTGCTCAACATGAAGAATGACGATTAGAATTGGCAACCGCAGGCTTGCTAATCCTCCTGTGTTGCGCAAACATAATCGATAGTATTATGAGAACATACTTGATAATCCACAAAGATGCTTGAGATCATTTGTTAATGGTAAACGGTTGAGGGCCCACCTGATCACACTAAATCATCTTGACTGAGAGCACAGAGGCAGAGCTGCATAATAAGCAGAAATAGAACAAAAAAATAATACACCGAGAGTGAATGCAAGGAAACAATCTATTTTTTCCCAAATGGATTTGACTCAGAGAAGCAAAAGCCTTGCTTGATGTCTTTACTTCACAGCGGGGTGGTTTCTGCATCTTTTTTTTTTTTTTTTACTCTGCTGCATCAATTGTGATTCTATCGTGTGTCATTTTTCAACTACTACAATCATTTATGGTGTCATTCCGTGCCACAACTCAATTTAATTCAAAACAACGTTGAATAAATTTGAGCACTTTGGTATTGTGGATTATTGAAGGAGTTTCATCCTACTGAAAATTGTGGTGAGTAATATTATTAAGATGTTGTGAGTTTGAGGCATAATGAAATCAGGGTCAAAGGTAAAAACAGGCGAGTCATATCAAAGTGGTCTTTTTTGTTTTGCCACAAAGTCATAACGACTGACGCAAGACATTGCAATGTGTTCTCGCTCACAAACACTTGATCTGTTCACGTCCTCGCCATCCCAAAAAGCTTCGCAACAGGCATGAAGCTGAACAAGTATTCAAGAAACCAAAACAGACAGGCTTTGTGGGTATATCATTTTACATATGCCAATAAAATTTGCATACATCGAGCGGAGTCATATGACTTGAGTTTATATATCTATACAGTCTACATTTACTCTATGTGAAGCTTTTCATGAAAAAAATATATTCCTCTTCATTTCTTGTTGCATAAACACACCATTACATTGACATTTTTGATAGTACCACCAGATATAAAGTGAGGTAATCTGTAGCGTTTCACTGTTGACACTGAAGAACATGACCAATTTGCAGTGGGAGCAGTATCAGGTTAGCAGGTGGCATGAGAATAATTTTGATGAACAAGAATAATCATCAAAGACGGGAAGAGATCAATCATAATTCTCACAGCAAATAAATACAGTACATAAACAAATACAACAATTTTGCATTGACAAAGTTACTAATTAATTAATTGGCATAATGTCAACATAGCTTTTAACAATTATTACTCAACCTGGAGGGGTGGTGAAGAGGTTCAACTCATCCGACTTTTTGTATATCAGCGCGTTTGCTCTATTCCACGTGACTAGATCATTGATTAATGTTGGAAGCAGCAAGCTCACTCTTGAAACTGTCTACGCGCACAGACAGCCCTTGATTGATTTCTCGTCTATGCAAGGTTAACACCTTTGATATTTAATGGGGAAATTGCTGTCTGACGCCGTCCTTCCATGCGTTCATACCGACATAAAACGACATCGAATCTCCTTGCGACTGCGAGTCTGAATCGTGTGTTTTATTTTTTTATTTTTTGGTGGCAGGTACACCTTTCTGTGTGGGAGTGCTTGGTCGAGCTTCCTGCAAGCAAAAAACACGCACACACCCACACACACACACACACCCACACACACACACACACACACACACACACACACACACACACA